TGGTGCATATTGTGGGGCATGGAGACTTCCAGCTGAGCCAGGTGGATGCCCCCCCCGACCCCCTCTCTTTGAACCCCCGCGTGGTTAAAGGACAGAAGAGGAGTCAGGACATGGAGATACAGGTGTGTTGGGAGGTCAGGGCTTTGCTGGTCCTGTTAGAACACCATGTTTCTAAACTTTCATCAGGAAACTACAACTGGGTGTGGGTGGTTAAGGGGAGGCAAAGGGAGTTTTATCAAGAGCCAGCAGGGCTGTGTTCTGCCACTGAGCTGAGATTCCTTGCACGTGGCACGTAACAAAGGGTATATCACAATGTTAACAAACATGATACTTAAAGGAATTTCACTTCAGACGGATTGCTAGCTGGAGTTTAGTGTATTTACAGCTGGGAACTCTGCTCTTGCCCTTCAGGATGACTCTCTAAACGGTACCGATGAGATGGAGGAAGATGTTAAGGTCCTGATGAAGGCAGATCCAACCAAGCAAGAGTCTTTGCAGTCAGAAGTGGTTCCTGATCCTATGGAAGGGGAGCAGACGTGGCCTACTGAAGAAGAACTGCAAGAAGCAGAGGGTGAGCAGCAGGCAATACTTGTGTACTTTTTCCTTGTCCCTGTTAAGAGGGTTGTTAGAAACCCTCTGTCACTGAGATGGCTATGAAGAAACATGCTAGTTGGGAGCCCAGGACTTCCATTCCTAGTCCCATCACCTGGTTAGCAGGTGGTGTGGTTTGCCTGGCACGTGGCAGGATTATGTTTTAGCTGCCTTTTCTGTGTCCTGACATATTCTGTGCTGGAAAACTGATTCTGGTCTAGAGCTGATCTTGGCTCTTCTGCTGTAAATGTTTCTGAGGGAAAGGAGAATGGTTCCTGTATTAACTATTGCTGGGAAATCCTACAGCTTCTCTGAAGGCAAACAGGAAGGTGGTGAAGGTCCCCAAAGGCACATCCAAGTACCAAGCTGCCTGGATTGTAGATGATGAAGAAGAGGGCAATCAGGAAGATGATGACGATGAAGATGATGATGACATCGATGATGATATGATGGAAGAGGCAGTTTCCCAGGTACTTCCAAGAGCTCGTACTGTAGCTGACCTCCATGGTGTTACTTTGTATACTAGGACAATCCTGTCCTTCTGGCTTGCTCCATGCAAGGGCACAACACAGAGCCAGGACTTGCCTGGATTTCCATTGTTAAATCTCTCGCATGTGTTGTGTTGCTTCTTTGGCCTGTTAGATACCAAAATGGGGCCCTGTGGTGTAGCTCAGCTCACAATTCACAAACACAGGGTTTGAGAGCTGTGGGGACACAGACAGAGAGCTCATGTGCTCACAGGCTCTGTGCTGTCCTCTGTGTCAGGAGGGGGAAAGCAGCGAGGAGGGAGAGGAACCTGCAGAGGAGGAATGTGAGACCATGACCGTTTCCGAGTGCTTGCGGGACGACCAGTATGATGAGAAAGTGGAGGAAGATGAAGAGATGCTGGAGAGGTACAAACAGGAGAGAATGGATGAAATGTTTCCGGATGAGGTGGACACGCCACGTGACGTACCTGCCAGAGTCCGGTAAGAAACAGGGTAATTTGGGAGAGGAGCTGGAAGGTGCCCTTCCTGGCTTTGGGAGATAGGACAGGAAGCCTATGATGTCTTAGCCGTGGTGTCTGAACCTGGCTGAAGGACTCTTCTGAAGACACATCTTTAGGCTCTGAGGCTTCCAGGGGAGGCATTGGTTGGGCACTGGGTGGCCTGGGCAGCTCTGGGTGGCAGGAGGAGCTGGTCCTGACCTGGGAAAGGGAGGAGGATGGCAGAGCCCTGATGCAAGGGTAGGTTGTTTGGAGTCTTGGCTGCTGCTTCCAGTGTTCTCTGCGCTAAGATCTTTTCTGAGGGCTAATGTTTGCTTTGCTCCCTTTGCCATCTCTGAAGATGTGTGTCCCTGCAGACCACAGAAGGTGCTGGCCACACACCTTGACTGGTGAAGTAGTTTGTCATTTCTGTTATCTGTCCTTTAGGTTCCAGAAGTACAGGGGGCTGAAGAGCTTCCGAACTTCTCCATGGGACCCCAAAGAGAATCTCCCAAGGGATTATGCCAGGATTTTCCAGTTCCAGGACTTCTCCCGGACCAGAAAGAACATCTTCCGGCAAATAGAGAAAGAGGAGACTGAAGGAGCCTCGGTAGCACCCTTTTCTCTTGCTGTTCTTTTTCCCTGCTGTGTTCCCTTACTCCCAGTAGGAAAGACTTGTCAGGGAGGTGGCTGGTGGATCTTTTCGGCCCAGCTGGTTCTTAGCATGAAGCCATGAGTTCAGATGATACCGTTCTCCTGGATTCCCTCTCTAATCCAGGCAGATGTTACTTCTGACACTTTTCTGTTGAGCCAAGTATTAACAACCGACCCTCTCTCGGCAGGTTGGCTGGTACGTTACACTTCACATCTGCAATGTCCCTGTCTCAGTGATGGAGAGCTTCAAAGAAGGGAAGCCCCTAGTCCTGTTCTCACTGCTTCCCCACGAACAAAAGGTAACCAAGTGTGGCCCTGGTGGTAGCTTGTAGGTGTGCAGCTCCTTGTCTGATTCCTTCAGGCTGCGTGGGTTGGAGAGGTTCTGGGAGAGGGAGAGGGCTGAAATCTCCCCTAGGTTTCAAAGTAGGACCTTCCCTTGGGTCAGAGCGGGCTGAAGGTGCCGGGGGTGTTTAGGCTGAGCCTGGCTGAGGTGTCCGCAGTGGTGAGCAGCAGTCTTTAGGGAAGCCACTCTCAAGGGCTTTGTCCCTGCCTCGGTGTCCCACTGCTTTCTGCTCTGGCCACCATGTGCCAGCCCTGCTGTCACCTCCTCACAGTGCTGTCTCTCCTGCAGATGTCCGTGTTGAATTTCCTGGTGCGGCGGCATCCGAGCAACAGTGAACCAGTGAAGGCAAAGGAGGAGCTGATCTTTCACTGTGGGTTCAGGCGGTTCCGAGCATCCCCCCTGTTCTCCCAGCACACCTCAGGTTTGTGAGGGACTGGTTGGGGTGCCAGGAGGTTGGGCTGGGGTTTCTAGGGCAGGAAGCCTGTGATGTCTTAGCCGTGGTGTCTGAACCTGGCTGAAGGACTCTTCTGAAGACTCACTTCTAGGCTCTGAGGCTTCCAGGGGAGGCACTAAATGGTGGGGAGTGGAAGGGCTTGGGCAAGGTGGCTCACTGGTCCGGGTAAGGTGGTGGCAAGCTCCACACAGTGACCTGGTAGCTCTGAGGATCACCTTCCTTCTCAGATAGTCTGTGCCAGCAGAGGAGGGGTGTTTGTCACCTGTTTCCTAAAGCACAAAAACCTGTTGGCCGGGGAAGAATGGGCTCAATGGGGTGTCCCAGAGCTCTGAGGACTGCTGTTGGCCTGAACCTGATCGTTGCTGTTCTGTCCTAGCTGATAAACACAAGCTGGAGCGTTTCCTGCGCCCGGACGCTGCCCTGGTGGTGACTGTTTACGCTCCCATCACTTTCCCTCCTGCCTCGGTGCTTCTTTTTAAACAGAGAAGTAACGGTAAGTTGGTAAGTGCAGAGGAAGTGGGGTCTGATAAAGAAATATTAATAGGCTGTTCCTATGCCGCACTTAAAAGTATACTCCAGAAAATAAGACTTGGAAAAAGCTGTCCCCTTCATACTATTTGAGAAGATTATTGCATTTCCATCCCCAGTATCACTGGCACCTTTGTCTGTCCCTGCTGTGGGGTTGCTCTGGACCTGGAACCATTTGGGGAAGGGGGTTGAGGTGGGGCAGGAGGTGATGGAGGGACCTTCTGTGTCGCTGCCCCAGTTCATTAGTGACTCTTCCTTGCAGGAATGCATGACCTCATTGCCACGGGTTCTCTGCTCTCCGTGGACCCAGACAGAATCGTCATCAAGCGGCTGGTGCTCAGTGGCCACCCTTTCAAGATCTTTACCAAGACGGCTGTCGTGCGATACATGTTCTTTAGCAGAGGTATGGCCCGTCTCTGTGTGTTGGGAAGAGGGGATGTGGAAGCAGAGCTCCTGCCCTTGGCAAAGCTCTTGTGTTGGTGCAGCAAAGGCTGTTTCTTACCTGTCTTTCGTGTTCTGATCTCCAGAGGATGTGATGTGGTTCAAGCCAGTGGAGCTGAGAACAAAGTGGGGTCGTAGAGGACACATCAAGGAGCCGTTAGGTAGGTTTGGTCCTGTCTTTATCTCTGCCGTGTTGGGCAGGATGTGGTCCTCCTGGGCAGGAGAGACAGCTAATGGCATGTTCTGCTTTCTGCTTAGGGACCCACGGTCACATGAAGTGCCACTTTGATGGACAGCTAAAGTCCCAGGACACGGTGCTGCTGAACCTTTACAAGCGCGTTTTTCCTAAATGGACTTTTGATCCCCACGTTCCAGAGCCCGTGCCGTGGGTGAGGAACGAGAGCGCGCTGTCCGTGCAGGAGGTGGAAATGGAATAAGTCTCCAGTGTGGCTGATGCAGTTTGTGCCTTAGCTCCTCGGATGCTGCTCTCAGCCACTGCACAGCGAGGACAGCACTGATGTCTCGGACGTGTTACTGCTGGGGTCTGTACAGGGGCGGCTGTCTCACCAGCTGCTGCTCAGGTACCAGCTACATCTATTTATTTTAATGGAAAATGTTTTAAAAAAAACATCTAAGGGCCTGTGTCTTGGTGGTGTCTGGCTGTGGAGGGGACACTGTGTGCACCCCTTCTGTTGTGAACCCCTTGGCCCACTGGGGCTGTGTCTTTTCCTTGTGCCCTGCCGTAGCGGTGGGGGTTTTGCTGTCTCAAGGGTAGGAGTTTGCTGGAAGTTAGTGGTGACGCTGAGAAAGAAAGGTGAAGTAGCAGCTGGAGAAGTGATTGAGGGCAGCTCGTGGGAGGTCTGTCCCAGAGCAGCTGGGGAAGGGAGAACAGGGTGCATTTTGCTTCCAGGCCCCCCCCCGAAGCCGCCCTTTGATTTGGAACCAAGCAGCTCTGTGCTGTAGAAACCAACACCAGCTTCCCTTATCCCTCCACAAAAAAAAACTTTCAACCGTTTTGGGGGTTGTTTATCTGTTTTTCGTAGTGCACAAAACCAGACTGTCCAAACTCAGAGCGAGGTTCCTGCCACTTGAGACGTGGCTCCGCTCTCATTCCGCTTTCCCAGGGAGGTCTGTGAGCCAGGTCAGGGAGCTCAGGTCCACGTTTCCCCCGCACAGCACGACGCAAACGTTCTCCACTTCCCGGGGGACCTCCTGGAACCGCTCCGAGAGCGCGGCCGCCACTCCCACACCCGCTGTTGGCTCCACCAGCAGCTTCATCCTTTCCCACACCAGCCGCGTTGCTCGCTGTCGGGACAGAGCAGCAGCTGTCATCCCCAGCAGAGAGTCCAGGCTGCTCCGGGGCTGGGGAGGGCACGTCTCTCTGCAGCGCTCTGCTCCCCCTTCCCAGAGCTTCCGCCAGCCTTTTCCAGCTGGAGACAGACAGTGTGGGTGTCGCACAGCTGTGATTGTGCACAGGGGCTTGCGCTGCCCTGAGAGGGCGGAGGGGTGAGAGTGGAGGGGCGGAGGGTGGCTGGAGGCAGCTGCCTGCTGGCAGCTACCCTGAGAAGGGAGCCTGGGAGTGTTTACCTTGATTTCTTCCTCTGAGACTGTCAGGACATCATCAACCAAATCCCTGATGATGGGCCACGTGGTCGGTCCAATGCTGGTTTTAACCGCGTCCGCGATGGTGTCCGGCGGGTGAAGGTTGGGGGTCAGTTCCCCTCTTACCTTGGACTGGTAACAGTCGTCTGCGTTGCGTGGCTCGGCTGCAAACACTTTCACGTCTGGTCTCAAAGCCTGCAGAGAGCAGGAGGAGCCTCTTGGTGTAAACTGGTGCGTGCCTGTCCCCTGTTGCAGTGTGTAGGCCATGCTGCTGCCCCGCAGACCCCGGCCACCGGAGATTTCTCTCCGTTTCTAACGAGAAAAGCCGCTGCCATCGCTTCCTGCAGAAGCTGTTGCCTACCTTGATGGCAATTGCCATTCCTGCAATCATTCCTCCGCCTCCCACAGGAACCACCACGGCGTTTACCTCGGGTGCCTGTGCAGAAAGGAAGCATGAGTACTTCTGGCACCTTGGGTACCCCCTTTTTTTGCTGTGTGTTGCCCTCACCTGCTCCAGCACCTCCAGGGCGATGGTGCCTTGCCCTGCGATCACCGCTGGCTCTTGGTTGGGGTGCACCATGACTCCTCCTGTCTCCTGCACTACACGAGCTGCTGTCTCGGCTCTGGACTAAGGGAAAGAGTGCAGATGGTTACCTCTCAGCCCGGCTGGCCCCTGTCCCTGGCTGATCCCCATGTGCCATACCTCATCACTGGGCTCGCAGGGCACCAGTGTGGCACCGTAGGCGCGGATGGCATCTTGCTTACAGCGCGGGGCTGTGTGGGGCACCACGACGTAGGCAGGAATCCCTGGAGGCAAATCAACAGCCACAAAGCCACAAGCAGCCCATTAGAGCTGCAGGAGCGACGTGTCTGTGCCCGCTCAGGTGAGGGACACCCCTGCTTATCTCCAGGGGGGACCAAGCTGGGTGTCTGGAGCTGCCTGGCTGCTCTCTGGGAGGGAGCTGGAGCTTGGGGTATGTGTTACCTTCTGCCTGAGCAGCACAGGCGAGTGCCTGGCCGTGATTCCCACTGCTGTGTGTCACCACTGCCTGGGGAAGCTCCTTCCCAGCCCTCTGGCTTTCCTCCACGAGGCTCCTGACGGCGTTGAGGGCACCACGGATCTGGAAGGAGAGAGCAGCACCCTCAGTGCCACTACCCCGGAGCTGTGCCGGGCTCTGGGGGTGAGGTGGGGAATGTCATGGAATAGTAGAATGGTTTGGGATGAAAGGGACCTTAAAGACCATCTCATTCCCCTGGGCAGGGACACCTCCCACCGGACCAGGTTGCCTGAAGCCCCATCCAGCCTGGCCTTGAACACCCCCAGGGATCGGGCATCCACAGCTTCTCTGGGCAACCTCTTCCAGTGTCTCAGGGTGGCAGAAGCCGTGTCTCCCCTGCTGGGTGCCAGCAAAAAGCGAGTTTTTCTGCTTCAAGAAGTGACCTTCGTCCTCGGGGGCCGTGCGGTGGCGCCGCCGCCGCGCTCCCCCCCGCACCTTGAAGGAGCCGGTCCTCTGGAAGAGCTCGCACTTGAAGAGCAGCCGCCGCCCGGCCAGGCGGTCCAGCCCCCGGCAGGTGAGGAGCGGCGTTGTGTGCAGCCGCCCGGCCAGCCGCCGCTCCGCCGCCCGCACCTCGCCCAGCGCCGCCATGTGCGCGGCACCGCCCCGAGCACCGAACGCGCATGCGCGACGCCGAGGCTTTTTGGCCCTGCGCGGCCGCCGTCCGCCCGTCCCGC